CACAACAAACTCTGTAATGGCACGCGTCTCATTTTAGATTTTGTCACCAACAACAGATTTATGCACCTCCGTTGCCTGCCAAATCTTCAACCAGCATTGCTCCCCCGAGTCTCTCTCGGCACAACCGATGACAAATCACCCTTCCCTTGGCAACGACGTCAATTCCCAGTCCGACCTGCCTTTGCAATTACAATCAACAAATCGCAAGGTCAAAGCATTGAACACGCAGGCATTGACCTCCAACAACCCATTTTTGCACACGGTCAGCTCTACGTCGCTGCTTCTCGAATTGGCCAACCGCAAGACATCCGCTTTGCAATGCCAGGACCTGCGTGTTACACAACAAATGTCATCTACAAAGAAATCCTCGCATGACCGGCCTCACCTCGAGCAACACCAATATCTACTCCCTCCCTCTCATGCAGGATTCCTCAACTTCAAGACACTCATCCTCGCAAGATATCCAACAACATCGGTGAGTTTCTCTCCTCTACACTTCTCTTCCGTTTTCTGACATCTTCCCTTTTGTTTGTCTTTACTTTTGCAGGTCTGACATCTCCCGACAAACGCCAGAAAACATTGGCAGCATCACTTCCAATCACAACAACCTCAACTGACACCATCCTCCTTTCACTTGACCTCCCACAAACCACATCATCACCACCTCCCTCCTTCGAAACCACACCCTCGCCCGATGACGCCTCCCAATGGACAATATAGAAAGACTGCCTAACAACAACAAACATCGATGATGTTATTCGCCAAATCCTATGGGAGGATTTCCTCCTCACAGACCAAGCCGTCTGCGCACCGACTATTTTTTCTTACTTTGACAGTTACGCTCATCAACGTGAACTGGAAGTAAACAAACCGCCGCCAGCAAATCACCCCCAAAAGACATATGTTCGCATGAAAGATTTTTTACACCGCCTTCTGTTTCACGCACTCTCTCATACTCGCGGCATTACTGCAGGTCTTGCAAAATACAAAAACGACCGTATTGTCGACGCAGTTAACCGCCTCGCTTTCCACAGATCAATTCTCATGCACCAACCTCAATCTGCACAATCTACCCTCCTTCATTCAAATGACTGGTGGCATCCTCTACGACGCTTCGGTACAGCTAAAGCAGTCAGCCAAATCCACAACATCCTGTCAACACGGCACATATATGCTTTGCATACCATCCACTTCGTGCGCCACACCTGGGAATATATAGATGATCTCATTCGTATGTACTACGATGGAGACAGACCTGCTGACCTTCCCTACGCTATGTACCGCCAGACAGTTGTCCAGCAAGCTCTTCAATCACTTGAAGCTCAAGAATGGACTAGGCGATCATTCTAACGCTCCAATGCAATGCTCTGTTATATGTCTCCACAGATGCTGTCGACCTTCTACAACATGTGACTACAATCGCAAATCAAGAATGACAACCATCATCGACACAAAGACAGCACACAACAAGCAGCGGCTTCTTCCAACTCGGCTCTCTCAAAGTTCAAGACATCCGTACAAAACAATCGACAATAATATTCCAGACAATTTTCTACAGTACGGACAGAGCAAGAAAGAAACGACACATATGCATGGAGAATACAAGAAAGATGTGTGTGCACATGGACGGAGCAAGAAAGAAACAGCAAAGATGCATCGAGGATTTCTGCCTGTCAGTGACAGACAGAAAAACAGACAGCTTGGCGGTTGATCGAACATTGAGAGGGACAAAGAACCTAGAGCATTTGTGTTTGTCAATGACAGACAGAAAAACAAGCACAAAGACAGGTAGAAAGAAAGAGAGATTGTGACTTTTTTTTGTTTTGTTTTTTTCCCGTGTGTGTGTGTGTGTGTGTGTGTGTGTATGTGTGTGTGNGAGAGAGAGAGAGAGAGAGAGAGAGAGAGAGAGAGAGAGAGAGAGAGAGAGAGAGAGAGAGAGAGAGAGAGAGAGAGAGAGAAAGAGACAGAGAGAGAGACACAGAAATAGACACAGAGAGAGAGAGAAAGATGAAGACAGAAACAAAGACACTCAGAGACAAAGACAAAAAAAGGCAGAAAGAGTCTTTGATACCGTTCGACTTTGATATCATTCACATTCATTCGCCTTTCAACCCGGAGCCTGTTCTTACTATGTCATGCTGTTTGCCGCCTCTGCTCTCCTCTCAGCACGAACAACACAAAAAAAACAACCAAACAACAAAGACACAAAGAGAAAACGAGACAAAACCACGGAAACAGAAAGAAACTGTTTGCCTTGCCTGCCTCTTCCATGCCACAATCTGCCGCGGGCATGGCCCGCGGCGCGCGTTTACTTGTGTTAATAGAGATAAGTTTCCACACAGTCTTACACAGTCTTGTGTGGATGTTGTGAATTGACTAACCATGTGCTGGGGGGATCAACCCCCTCTGGAGCCATGATTGCTTTCCAATTGTTAGGAATGACTTCAATAAGTAACGTCCTCCTTTCGTGCAACAACCAAACTTGTCTCAGTTTCGTTTTCAAGTTCTCATCAAAGATCCACGTGTCGAGTAAGTGAATCTCATATATCATTGATGCGTAACACCCCCTTTTCAATCCAACGTTGGTCGAAGCTAGTTTGGGAGGAATTTGCCTTGAACCAAACACCAAATCATGTATCCCGTATTCTGGGATTTTCAAAAAGTGGTTGAAGTAAAACCTTAGCTTTTGTCTGGGGTTCTCGCCAAATGTTTGGGCGGAGTTTCGTCCAAGCCAGGAAGATAGCCGACCAGAACGGTGATTTGATATTCCGTCTATGGTACGAAAAAAGGAGAGCGCAAGTCCATACATCCTCAAGACGACTCATATTTCATTCCTGACTCAGGATATGTTCAGCCAGATGGATCCAATGAGGGGGCGGGGAGAGTAGCCCGACTTTAGCGATCCATGTGCATAGCATTGGTGCAATTTGTCTGAGGGGGGTTAGAATGCCCAGACCCCCCTCCTTGCGTGGAACACACAGCATATCCCACGCAACTTTGAAAATGAATGACTCTTCATTACTTGAGAAGGGTTTCCAAATAAACTGAGTTGCTCGTCGTTTTATAAGGGAATAAGATACCTTGTCAAGGCTGCAGACTCTGCCTACGTACCACAAGAGTGCAAAAAGGGCATTGTTGACTACCGTGGCCCGTCCGAATAGGGACAAATATGGCGTTTTACCCCAAGTTATTAACCGTTGAAAGACTTTTTGAATTAGAATGCTTTTATGGGAAACGGAACAGTTTCTCAAGGCAATTAGGACTCCCAATAAGCGTTCTGAGTCATTTTCACTGATCATCTACATTCCCCATTTCACGCACAGAGTGTATCCTTTGGGGAGGAAAACAACCGATTTGTGCCAGTTGATCGCAACTTCGGATAGATCGGCATATTCGTCACGACAAAGTTTAAACCACCAGTACCACTGATACCTTCCCCCTTCTCTGCACCTCCCTTCTCCGTTCTCCCTGCTCTCTCTCTCTCTCTCTCTCTCTCTCTCTCTCTCTCTCTCTCTCTCTCTCTCTCTCTCTCTCTCTCACACACACACACACACACACACACACACGCGCGCGCGCGCGCTTCTTTTCTTTCTTTCTTTGTTTTGTTTTTTGTTTTTGTTTTGTTTTAGTTTTATTTATTTTATTTTATTTTTGTCAGAAAAATGTGCGTACGTTGTTTTTCTTTTGTGTCTATCTTTCACGAAGTGAGCGCCCGACCCTGAACCGACCAGCCTCCTGAATGAGGCACTACCGGGCATTCGCCTCCCCCGACCCCCGAAAGCTGTGGTGCGTTAACGGCGGCAAGCTTTTTTTTTAGCTGGGCGAGGTACTGGTGGTTTAACAGCAGCCAATGATTCAGGTGAGTTTTAAGGGACCAACAGACAAGCCTGTTATTTGCAAGTGAGCCCGAATATTGTTCAAAACGCCTTCCATTTGGATAGCAAACAGTAGTGGGTCCAGGGGGCAGCCCTGACGCAGAGATCTGGTCAGGGCGAATTTGCCCGACAGCCTCCCATTAATCATTAGGGTGGTGGTGGACAGTGAGTACAAGGCAGTTAGCCAGTTGCAGAAATTCGGACCAAAACCCATGTGGTTTAATGTGGAAAGAACATAAGACCAGTTAACAGGATCATATGCTTTTTCCATATGAAGAAGAAGGACAGCTATGTCTAATTTCTCATTCTCTACAATCTCGAGGGTTTCTATGGCAGTGACTATGTTATCAAAAATGGATCTGTCCTTCGGGACATCCGTTAAAATTGGAACAATACAGAGAAGGTTAGCATCGCCCCTAGCATGGCCCCTGCGTAAGGAACGATACAGAGAAGATTAGCATCGCCCCTAGCATGGCCCCTGCGCAAGGATGACACGCATAAATAGAGAACTGGTCCCAAAAAAAAAAAAAAAAAAAAAAGGATCTACCGTTTACAAACGCAGCCTGATCAGCCTGATCTGAATGGACAATTTCTGGCATATAGCTTCCCAGTCTTCTGGCAAGAACCTTGACTAAGATTTTATATCATACATTTAGGACAGATATGGGGAGCCAATTTCGAATCTGTGATTTCTCCCCTTTCTTGAAGAGAACTGAGATTATCCCTTTGCAGATGCTGGCAGATAATCTTCCTCCGTTCAACACTTTGTTATAGATTTCCACGAGAGGGCCGCGTACTCGAGTTTCAAGTGAAGTGGTATGGAATGAGGCCCTTTGACCGCACCTTCTATTAAAAAAACATGAGCGATTTCCAGGAGTCCTACTTTCGAAGGTAATTCGAATAGAACGGATGTACGTGTTTTTTGGGGTAAGAAGGTCGGCGACGTACCTTCACTACCGGGCCTACCAGCGGCCTGCCTGCCCAGTGCGACCTATCTACGCGGCCTACCTTCAGTACCGGACCTGTTCTCTCTCTCTCTCTCTCTCTCTCTCTCTCTCTCTCTCCACATGAACGCGTGCTACGTGAATTGGTGCTCCTGTCGATGCGCTACGTGAATCGGTGCAACGTGCGGCTCCTCTCTCTTCTTTCTCTCCCTCTCCCCTCTCTGCTACGTGCTACGTGCACTTGGTGCTCTACGTGCTTTGAGAACTTGGTGCAACTGTGAATCTGTGCCCTTCTCCTTTGCTCTTCTCTCGCGCTTCGTGAACTTCGACGGGGATTGGTGCTACGGAGCTTGAGGCTTTGTCTACTTTCCTGAGCATGGACGTCTGGGCCGAAGGCTTCCGCGTTGTTGGTTGGAGGCTTCGTCGACATGGCTGAATCAAGTGAGTCCTTCTCTCTCTCTCTCTCGTCCTCACCTCCGACCCATACCCAGCACCCAAGGCCTTCCCGCTCATCGTTCGCTTCCGCCCCCGCCCAGCCACCCATTCGCTGCTCAAAGACCAGTGAACTATTTTTTTTCTCCTCTCCCACTGTCCACGGTCAAGCTTTTTTTTTTTTTTTTTTTTTTTTTTTGGGTGGGGGGTGAGAGTGTGAGAGAGAGAGAGAGAGAGAGAGAGAGAGAGAGAGAGAGAGAGAGAGAGAGAGAGAGAGAGAGAGAGAGAAGGGCTGCCCATTTTTTTTAATCTTCTGCCTTGCATTCGTTTCTCCTTTTTGCCTGTTTTTGCGTCCGAGATGGCAGCCACGGTACCAGAGCATTTGCCATCAGCGTCCGAGAATTCGAGTGTTTATTTTTCTCCTTCAGGGTTTAGCGCACATCATTGGTACTGTTTTTCCCTTTTCGTTTTCAAGGGTTTAGGACTCTCTCTAGTGTGTGTGTGTGTGTGTG